GAAAATTCCATGCAGCTGATCTATTCCGTCGCTGAAAATAGAAGCCTACAAAAATTGATAGTGTTGTGTTGCTTCAGCGACTAGATTTCTCACTTTGATGTTGGAATTAGAAATATAATTACAAAGATCTCCACTAGAGGAGATCATAATTCATTATTTTTTTCACACATATAAAATCTGGTTAAATATGTTTCCTCGTTTATAAATTACAGAAGTTTTTTTTTTTTCAATAATTCCTGATATTTTAAAGGAAAATTTTCATGTATTTTTTTTTTTCTTGTAGCAGGTTTAAATAATCGTTGATTGAAACCACACTAATTTTAACTAACAATCTGAAAATGACACAAATGACGTGAACTCTTTCATAATTATATTACTCATTAGCATTAAAAAAAACTTAACTTGGGTTGAAGATTACCTCAGAAGATTTTTTTTTAAATTTCTTAATTTAGATGCCATACAGTCTGGTAATACATATCTAATAATACATAATAATAAGTCTGGTTATACTACAGCCATATCAGTGGCCGATAAGACCGCTAAATATTAGTTGTTCGATTTGGATTCAAACTCAGACGAACGAATGTGATGGCTGTAAGGTATTTTTCTATGTATAACATGAGTATGAGCTATTCGTTAGAAAGTCCTCTATGAAGGCATCTTTCTCCTTAAAAGCAGATAGTCCTCGTGTGTTTTGCTGTATTCAAATAATCCTAACCTTCAAACTACGGCACCTATCACTCTAAATCAAGATGAAAGCTTTCTAAACAAGATTTTTAAATCGGGCTGTGGGGGGTTCCAGTGGCCAATCGCTAAAACCGCTGAATGAATACTGGTAATTCGACAGGGGTTCAAATCCTGACGAACGCGCTTGTTCTTTGAAAGTTTTCCGGGGTTTTTCTACGTTCACTGTGGATGAGATCTAGTTCCCCTTAGAAATTCTCTCCATGATAGTTTCAGTCCTCTTGCGCAGATTCCAAATCCATTAAATTTTCTTTATTAAATACAATTATAATTCTTTCTTTTTAGAGAAATCGCAGGAGAAAAAACTGTAAACATCAAATCGAGTGCGATTACGAATATTTTAAAACAGTTAAAATTTTGAGCGGAAAAGTTTTTTTAATACGCTCATAAGCAACTGAAAATTAGGGGAAGAAAAAAATTTTAAATTGGCATAAAATTTTGTCGATTTCTACAACAACTTATATAAATGCGTTTTCAAAAACTTCTGCTGAAATATGAAGAGTTGTATTTGTAAAGCATTTATTAGTGAGATCTGTAATTATATACTCAGCTTTTAGTTTTCATAACTTCCATTCATCAGAATGTAGTCATTAAACGTAAGGGGGGGGGCGAAAAAGGAATTTAAAAAAAAGATTATTTTTTAAATGACTCAAAATTTCCTGAGCTAGTATAAGTAATTATGTAATTGAAATAATTAAATATTTGCGAAAATTTTGTTGACCTCTCTTGGTCTTACCAATATTTCTGTATAGATATAGAACATAATTACATATCGATAATGAGTATCATAGACAGTGGAGGATGTAGAACATCACATTATATAATTGTGCTTGTCGCAAAAGCAGCCACTTTGATAAATGAACATAACTGTCGGGAATCGCGTATGAATGTCACATACATGCTTTATAATATCAAGAATGTTATAAAAATGACGGTTATCTGATATCAACATTTACCGAACTTTCCAAAGCGTTTAAAAATATAATATTTAAGAGTCGGCAAGTTTGTTTAAAAAATTGTATGTATTTCAATCACGATTTTTGTCGCTATAATCAGAAGCTCGTCATCGATACTTAGACTATTTCTTGATAACCTACCGAGTTCAAATTTTGTACTCACACCGTTTACAGATGGAAATATGCGTGGTAAACCGAGTTTTATAAAATTCGATTTAGAGGTCTTAAAATTTAATGTTGAAAAAAATTTTTGCGCATATTTCCATTTAAAGAATAAACTAAAAATCTCTCAGATTTTAAGTTTGCATCACTTTACAGAGCGTAAAATAGTTTTTGAAATAAAATTTGCATAAAATTAATATAATTTCTGATTTTGGGCGAATTTTTAAAACTTTATACTTTTATGAGGTAAGAGGAATTTTGGGAGTAAAAAACTGTACCAAAAGGAGAAAAATATTTTGTCATACAGATTAATGGGAATAAGAGCCCCTTTGAAAAATTCCTGTAAAGTTTTATAAGAAGAATAATAGATTCTTAAATAATGAAATCAAATATTGAATCGCATTGTCAAAAGTATAAGATTTATAAATTTATCAAGAGAACCGCACGTTTGTTATTCATGATATGAATTTGTCGAAATTTTTTTAAAGAGAATTATTTAATCATGTGCTCCCAATAAATTATATAATACATTATTTTTCTCATTTCAACTCATTAATAATTTTATGAGTCATAAATAAAAGATTATTTTGTAAAAACTTGTTTATTTTATTCAATAATTGTTCTAAAACGAAAATTCTTAATTCCTTTTATATATACATTCACTTTGTAACTGGTAATAACTTTGTTTCCTTAGAGTCAGTGTAAGGCCTTTATCTCAAAACATCAAGAAGACTTCTCCCCGCGATAATGACAGCCATTACCCATTGTCGTCAGGGGTGCCTGGACCCTTGTCCCCTTAGGCAATGGGGGTTGGAAGACGTACAAAAATACGGGCTAGTCCTTTTTGGCGCATTTTTTCGCTAATACAAAAACACGGGACGATCCGTTTTCGAGGGTACATTTAAACTTACAATAATCCATAACGAACCGTTAAGAGACCTGCATAAAAGAACGAGATAATCCGGGTCAAACCGTTAAAGGGTTAAACAAAAATGTGTAAGTTTATCAACCATGGAAGTGGAGTATATCGCCTTATCTGAAGCAGCGAAGGAATTAATGTGGACGAAAAATGTCTTACAAGAAGAAATTTTAAAGTGTAATTTAAGAGAGCGTAAACTATTTTGTGATAACAAGTCTGCCATTGATTTTTCTAGATCACCAATAGAAAATCGCCGAACTAAGCACATAGACATAAAATATCACTTTGTTAGAAGACTAGTAAATGATGGAGTGTTTGACCTTGAATTTATCACCAGTAAATTGAATACTGTCGACTTATTTACAAAAGCAGCGACTGCTGTTAATTTAAGAAAGTTTTGTTTAGATGTTTTCAGTGTTTAAAGACAATAAGTGTTTTCGTATAATAGAACTGAACTATGAACTTCTGTGAAAGTTTTGGTTTTGTCTTTGCATGAGGAAAAGAGGGCCGTTTGTTGGCTTTAGTTTTCCACGTGCAAATTTTGATCGAAGGTCAATCGGCGTAAGCTAACGTGGTTGCCGCTGACGTCAAGATCGGCGGGTTGGCCGAGTTTTATATATATGTACGCCAGTATCGACGAATGTCTTGTTCTCTTGTGTTATTATGAGTTAGCATAATGCTAGTTTGCTTTCAATCAAATTATTTTAAATGTAAAGGCTACAGTGTTAGCTCTTTTATTTTAATTTACAGAATAAAGCATGAATTTTATTTAGATTAGTCTTAGCTTTATTTAAGGGAAGCAAAATATGCTTTGCCTTTATCATCACCACTACCAACACATATTTGGCTATGCATCATGAGCTTGGCGACTAATGACAAGTTGTTCTGCTAAATTTTATATTGCTTCTATCGTGCACTGAGAAAATTAATCCTGAATTGTATTAGTTATTTATTATATTTATGCCTATTTCTTGCACATGCTTAAGGCTTATCAGAGTTCTTAATAAATAAATTCCTACCATATACTTACTGAGGGCCGGTGCTAGATATCTTACCTGATGCAGTCTATGTAGGTCTTAAATTCTGCGACTCAATGCGGCCATACTAGAAGGGTTCTGGGTTTGTCTGAATAACAAATTAGTTATTCTTAATTCAAATAGCCCTAAATGTAATCTTAGGATGCATGAGTATCATCAACAAAATCTATTTTTAGTATATAGAAAGACATTTTTGGTAAATCCCCCCCGGTCAATATTTTGTAGCTCATTTAACTCAAGTCTGTAAACATCACCAAGCGTAATGTTAACATTAAAGGTTACCACACTCCTTTATTATTCAATTACTAGCACAAAAAAATTGTTAGGCATCGCTACATGAGTCATTACTCAATTTGTCATGTTTTGATAAACATGCGGTGATGAAATGAAAGAATAATAATAATTCGCCCGGTTGGTGTTAGATCAATGATATATCTATGTGGTAATGGTAATGATCTATGATGTAATGTTTCGGTTCGAGATGTATGCCAAGCAGATGCGTAGCAACCGAGCGAAATTACTGATTGTACAAATTTATGCTAGAATGATTATTTCTTCAATGACTAGGTATTTTATTTAGTGTCAAAATGAAGAATAACAACTCTCCAGATGTTTTATTATGCGCAGAGGGGGGGAATTAAATGCACATGAATAAAGCCTACGAGAAAATGTTGGCAGTGGTTTTCAGGTCCGGATTTCTGACTTTGTATTGCATATGCATTAAAAAATAACAAATTTTCAAAAAATCCTTTTTTAGTTCTTTCTTCTCCATATGTACACGGTAATACGCTTTTTCTTAACACAGCATCAGAGTTGCACAAATTTGGCACTGCGCACCGGTTATCTACTGTATTCCTGCAGGAATGTTAACACAGTTTCTTCCATTGCTGACAAATTCCACAAGCAATATTTGAATGCTAAATGAAGAGTATAAATTAGTCATTCAAGAATATTTGCAGTAACGACATGCAGGTCTATGCTGCAAGTTGGAAATCTTAAGAATTATGAGATGAAAATATTAAGAGACTGTACAGTTCAGATTAAGATTCTCTAAAGAATTTTAACATATTTAACAAAATTAAAACTAAAAATTAACATAAGTAACTAAGTTATTGCTCATTTTAAACTTGAAATTAAATAAACTTTTAGTCTAACTTATTCTGACATGGATCTTGAGCTTACTTTTCCACAAAAGACACAGGTATATTTTGCATGTTGAGTAATTTCCATCTTTTTAACCATCTTCCTTAAAGAAGCCCCATAACGTGTACCATACTTGCCAACAACTCCAACTTTCTTTGTACGTTTGGCCTAAAATAAAAATTTTGTCAAAGTATGCATATTTATAGTGATTAATCTCCAATTTCAATAATTATTCTTTATAAAATCAATATGAACTTTAATGTACACGGTTGTAATTTTAACATTCTTACCAAGCAATTCACTGTTTGCCAATTTTATATTACTGATTCTCATACAAAACGATTAATTTAAAATTGTTTTAAAAGTTTACGATTGGGTGCCCCTTGTTTTTGGCGATTCTTTTTATACGCCAAGATCGGCACCAGGCACAATTTCAAGATGACCGCACAAAAAAAACCAAAATAAGAAGTCAAAGAATTGCACAAACTCTGTGTCCATGTACACATCGATCTGTTTTCATAAAAAAAAAAAATCCCAGAATTGCAAACTAGCCATTGTGCACTGCCTTAAATTTGTCCATGTACACATCAATCTTTCATTTAAAAAAACTCATAAACCTAAAACTAAGTTGAAACTAGAGCTTTAGTGTAGAATTGGGTGCCCCTTTGATTAGCAATAATTTTTTTTTCTTAAAATTTTGGCGATGAAACCTCATTTCTGGTTACCATGATAGTTTTAACTATTTTTTATCTTCTTGATTTTTTTTAATGAAAATAATGAGTGATAATGAAAATGTGTACATGGACAAATTTAAGGCAGTGTGCAATGTCTAGTTTGTGCAATTCTGGGATGTATTTTTAAGTGAAAACAAATTGATGTGTACATGGACACAGAGTTTGTGCAATAACTTTTTATTTTGGTTTTGTGCAGCGGCCATCTTCAAATGGTGCCTTCCTGGCACCGATCTTGGCGTCAAAAAAGAGTCGCCAAAAAACAAGGGGTACCCAAATGTAAACTTTTACTGTAACTAGAAATGAGGTTTCATTGCCAAGATGGCATGCAGAAATTATAAAATTAAAAATATGAAACCGTAATTTATGAAATAAAGAACAATTATGATGGGTATCAAAATTTACAAAAAAAAAGCTTAATATTTATTTGTTTACTTAACTTTCTTCACTATCGGAATCGAATTATAATGACGAGGAATTTTATTTAAATCATATCAAAGACGGAGTACATCGAGATGAAATACTACATTTAGTAAGGGATTAAAAGCCAAATAAAATAAAAACATCTACCCTGAAGATAAGGATAGTGCTGACAAATCAACTTTCAATTCATTGCGCGCCGCAGCGTCATCCCGCTGCAGAGCAGCGTGAAATTGATAAACAGATTTTGGAATGGTTAGATCATTATCCTTTATCCATTTTCTGCAGCAATTCCACTTTTTGTTTAATGGACTTCGAAACATACTTTTGCTTTGTAGATCCTTTACATATTAGTAAATATATATCGGAAATTCTATTTGACATAATCGAAAGTTCAAGCTTACTTTTATAAAATTGCTCTAACAATCTGCAAAAAAGTAATAAGCCGGATCCAATTCAAAGATTAAGGAACAACGCAATCTGCAACATTAACTGAATTAGATAATTTTAGCTTAGCTTATACCGTCCGTTATACATTAAACGCGCATGCGCATATTCACAGCCGTAAAGGTCTTACGCGCATGCGCAGAAAGTTTGTAGCTTTGAGGTCCGAATTAATGACTTTTGACTGTATTTACTTAATCTAAGTTTTCCAGGAACAAAAATCATTCGACTATGATATATGGAATGTTTGTACGCATAATCATACCAGATTCACCTCTAGATAAATCAAAATGATTGAAAATATAAAACAGAAGTTTGAATAATATATGCCACACATATACGACATTCTTTAATGATCTAACTATATCTTACACTCCTAGCAGAAGCGGCAAACAAATAAGTGAATGATTCTGCAGTTTACCCCTATTATATTTTGTTTAACAGAACAATTCAACATTTGTAGCGATTGGTGCCATTATTATATTATGGCACTTTCTCAATGCCTGCTTATTGTTAGTTTGATTCTTAACATAAAATCTGATTCAGGTTACTTAGAATGCATAAATTATTTTTACTGATTTTGCTGTTTTTAAACTCATTTTGTAGGCACAAGAAGTTTAGCAATCACTTTCAGGGTTTTCCAGCACCGCTTTCTTAATTCTACAGTGTGCATTTTTTTAAGTTAATTGTGCTAGAGGTATTTTTCCGAGTATGCATTTAAAAACAGCAGCATAATAAACTGGGTATGAGCACTAGGGCTTTGATATCCAGTCAAGGAACAGAATGAACCTCATATACAGCTGGTATGGACTGTCAAAAACAAACTTGTTCGCTGCCCTAAAGGAGTGTTAAACGAAAAAAAAAAAAGAAGAGAGGAAGAAAATCTGAAAGGTTTCAGATTTTAAGTTACGTCCAAAGGGGCTTTTTTGGGTGTGTGTTACCTTTATTTATGAAATAGCATCTGCTTTGCACTTAAACTATAAAATTTAGTTCAAGAACAATATCAAAAAAATAATTTTAAATTGAGCAGATCTTTGGAATTTCTGATACATAGTCTCACGCTCTGGAGATAAAAATGTTTTTTCTGTACGTTGCCATTAGTTGCTTTGAAATCCTAGAGTTTGTTAGTCAAAAATTCGTTTAAAGTTTTGCAAAATGATATCAATAATAAAATTAATTTCAAATTTGGGCTTCCAAATGCCCTTATATGCAGAAGGGTTATGTCATTCAAAATTTGATGGCTCTAGCTACCATTTTATCACACTGTGAGAAATATACATACATTTATGCAGATTCTTCTTTATTTAATTTCTTCAAATATAATACAGGGCCCTAATATTTGGTGGCAACAGTTTGAAAAGTGAAATGGACATTCAGAGTGATTCTACCAAAACGAAAACATTAGGCCCTTAGGGACAAAGCCCCCTTTGGACTAAAAATAGAATAATAATTTTGAAGATGCAGGTGATTTTTTAATCTGGGGCAAAATAATCACAAAAATTTTAAATATTAAGCGTTTTATTTTCTGTACATAATGCATTACATTGAAATAATGCTTTACTTTTGCTGATGCTCACCTAAGTCCAGGTACAGGATCAATTTTTCAGAAAAATCTTTAGGCAAGCAAGATGAACTATTCGAAATTAAATGGCATTATTACCAGAAAATGTTGCTCTTCAAGTAGCTTTTAACAGGTCCTAACATTAGTCTTCGATATTCGCTACCAAATAAGTCCACTCATTGTAATAAGAATCCTGATTATAAATACCATTGTTCAAAACAATTACCTTCATTACCATACTTTGATATTAATTTATATAGCTTCAATTTATCTTCTTTCAACTAATTTCACATATTCATTTTAATTACTATTAACCGTTTTATACATTATTATATCATTTCTACAGTTTCCAATTGTTTTGACTGGCAACTGGCACTTTGTTTGCAAGAACGCAATAACAAATAATTTGGTTCCCACTTTTCAAGGGTTTTACAGCAACAAATAACTAATAATCTTTCACTTGTACAGATAGATATGCATGTAGGAGATATTTTCTTAAAGTTCAATTCGAATATTTGATAAAATTTAAAAGCTTTTCACACAAGTAAATTAAAAGCACAATAAGCATTAAGTATTCTTCTATTAATTACTCAACTAATAATTCTGATGAATTAGGCGTATATTAGTAACCACGTGGACAATATACAGTATACATACTACAAACGGCTTCGGTAAGATTTATAACTCATAATGCATTGACGCTATGATAACATCATTTCTACCTTCCACGATAATAAAAATGAATTACGTAAAATAAAATAAAACTTACCATTTTAACTCTTGTATCACACTTTCAGTCACAGCTACCTTGCAAGCGAAACACACGATAGTTGCGTTGGAGTTGAAGTGATAGTTCCGAAACTATTTACCAAATAGCTGTTTACAAGCCATTGGTGGGATTTGTTCCATTTTGGAATGAAATAAATATATATTATGACTTCAATAAATAGTTTTGGGTCATTTCTTTTTTAGTTTTCATAAGAGATTAAAAAACGAAATTCAGACACATTTCCAGGTTAATCAGTCATACAAGGAAAAGAGAGAGATTAATGATTTAAGTTACCTAAAAGCTTGATATTTAACAAATAAAGAAAATACACAAAACGGTCATAATAAAAAGAAAAAAAAAAAAAAAAAAAAAACAGTAGTTTTGTAAAGCTATCTTAGTAAGAAAACTGAACACTGATATGATGAACTCAGAAAAGATTGGAAAAAACGGGTGGGGCAATTGGGGACGTCTTTCCCCGGGCGCAGCATCCAAGAGGCGCCAAATTGATGCTACGAAATTTTTTAATGATAATTTGAGAAAATTTAAGCATTTTTGTTGTGATAATAGTAAATTTTTGTTCATTTTTCATTGGACTTGTGCATTCATTTCATAATGAACCCGTACGCACGCAACAATTTTTAATAAATAAAGGTAACACACAAAATGTTTAAAAAAATGCCCCTTTGGACGTAATTTAAAATCTGAAACCTTTCAGATTTTTTATATTTAATTACTTATTACATATATAATGCAATTAAATTTTTATTTATTTATTTCTTTATTAGCTCAAAGGCCAAATTGGCCCCGAAGGGCCATTAATTTCGTTTTAGTATTTTGCGTCGTTCCCTATAAAACCAAGTAGGTTAGAATAGAGGAGGTCTATGTCTATGTCTTATCACTTAGTAAGAGGCAATTGACCATTAACGGCCTTTACCAATATATGATACTTGACATTTAAATGCTTGAAGAATCGAGTAAGTTGTATCCAATAGTATGGAAGTACTTGTGCACATGCTGTGCTAGAACTCAGAGATTACTAGCGACTGAGGCTTGTGGTGATGGCGATAAGGAGCGCGCCTTGCGCCCCTGATAAGTTTGGCAACCCTAGAGGAGAAATTTCTTACGAGTAGCGAGCAGAGCGAAACAGACCGGCTATCGGGGAGTATGCACGAAGTTCCGAAATAAAGCTTCATTTTTATTGTGCACTATGTATAGTTAATATTTATATTAATGAAGTAAGAACATAATCTGTGATATGGAATGCGAGGATTGGTGGAAAAACATATAGGTAACAACATGATAGGAAACGCCATAATGGTAACCCGGACTGTGTTAAATAAGGCCGTGTGAACAGTTCTCAAGCACTTTCGGTTTTGACTACAAGCCATCACTCAAGATCTCCAAACCAGAAGTAATAGATTACATCTGTTTTCATCCTCCGGATCACAGATGAGTAGTAATTCTAGATCATTTTATAATTCTGTTTTCTACTTATCATTTAATTTCATTTTCTTTAGTTAAACTTTTGCTTTTATTTTGGCTTAAAAACCTTGCACAATGTATGATGTTCATGCCGTCCAAATTCCGGTTTATAACCGATTAGACGCATCTTTATGGTTTATTATGTGTGAAAGTACCTTTGCTCTTGCCACCCTCAAACCTATCACAAAATCCATTACTAAATATAATTATGTAGTTTCTCATCTTCCTCCTGATATTGCATCATGAGTGGGGGATTTACTTATGAAACCAGATCCTATTTATCTATATACAAAGCTCAAAACTGAGTTAATAAATCGTTCAGGAGAATCTTCTCAGCAAGAAATTCGCCAATTATTATTTGGAGAAGAATTAGGTTCTCGAAAACCTTCCACTTTGCTTAGAAATATGAAACGTCGAGCAGAATCTTTAAATGTTCCTGATAACTTAATGTTAGAATTATTCCTTCAACGTTTGATTTCGACTGTTCAGTCTATTTTGGCTGCGGTTTCCAATTTAACTGTAGATAAAGCTGCAGAAATTGCCGACAGAATTTTAGAAGTAAATCCAACCCCAGGGACTTGTGCGTTTCTCGCACAGTCGATCAGTCTATTGAGGATAAATTATTTAAAGAAATAGAAAAATTAAACAAACGAATTAATCGCATTTCTCCTTCTCGTGGTCGCTGGCCAAATCGCGGACATCGCAATAACGAAAGAAGCAATTCCAAAAGGAGAGATTATTCTGTTTGCTGGTATCATAGACGTTTTGGGAAAAAGTGTAGAGAAGACAAATGTATACAAAACCTTGTTCATGGCAGGGAAACGAAACCAGCAAAGAATAGAGGCGACTTATTCTTTGCCTCAAGTTTCACGTCGCCTGTTCGTTCGTGACCGTAGAACAAACCTTTCATTCTTGGTCGATACCGGCTCTGACGTGTCCTTACTTCCAGGAAATAATTCTCAAAAACGGAAATCTCCCCAACAAGCACTTTTCGCGTCTAATTCTTCCACTATTCATGCTTATGGTCAAAAAACACTTTCTTTGGGTTTAAAATTAAGACGACAGTTTACATGGACTTTTCTTATAGCAAATGTTAGTACACCCATTCTTGAAGCAGATTTTCTCCATTTCTTTGAATTGGTGCCTGATCTCAGAAACAAATGTCTCAAAGATAAACGCAGTTGAAAACCGTCGGCTGCGTGAAAAATGCAAGCATTTATTCAGTAAAAACTGTATTTAGTGATACACCATATTATAAAATTTTAAAAGAATTTCCTTCAGTTGCTAGATTACCAGATCCTAACCAACCTGTTAGACACGACACCGTTCATTATATCATAACTAAAGGTCCACCTGTGGTTGCAAAACCTCGTCGGTTAGCTCCAGATCGCTTAAAAACAGCAAAACAAGAATTTCAAACTATGATGCAATTGGGGCATTTGAGACCTTCGAGCAGCAATTATGCATCCCCACTTCACATGGTTCCAAAAAAGGGAAGTCTGGAACGGAGACCTGTAGGAGATTATCGAGCATTGAGCTCTCAAACAATAAAAGAGAAATACCCTATTCCATGCTTAGCCGATTTTACTGCTGCATTGCACGGTACTAAAATTTTTAGTCATGTTGACCTGATTAAGGCATACCATCAAATACCAATTAATCCAGTCGACATCCACAAAACCGCCATATGCACACCATTCGGTTTATTCGAACGTACCCGTATGGAATTCGGCTTATGCAATGCATCTGTGACTTCTCAACGTTTTATAGATGAAGTCACGCGGGATTTAGAAGGTGTTTACGCTTTCGTCGATGACTTGCTCATAGCCTCTAAAGATTCTGAGGGACATTGCAGGCATTTGAAAGCTTTATTTTCCAAACTTCAGGAATATGGACTTTGCATAAATGTTTCAAAATGCACCTTTGGTCAAACGTCTATTGATGTCTTAGGTTTTCACCTTAGTGAAAACGAAATTGAACCTCTTCCTGATAAAGTCAAATGTATTTTAGATTTTCCTCAACCTACCACTCTCACTCAGCTTCGCCGATTTTTAGGCATGTTTAACTTTTACAGATGTTTCATACCTAAAGCAGCACATATTCTTTCTCCTTTAATAAAATTGTTAGAAGGCTATATTAATAAAAAGAAATCTCGTTCTCGTGTTCAGGATTCATCCCCACAATTAAATTGGAACGAGAATGCTGAACAAGCCTTTATTGCTGCCAAAAATGCCATTGCTCAGGCTACCCTTTTGAGACACCCTATTCCCGGAGCCCAGCTAAGCATCTGGGTAGATGCCTCAGACGTCGCAATAGGCGGCACGCTTATGCAGTTGTCTCAACAAACATGGGAACCTATAGCATTTTTCTCTATGAAACTCAATAAAAGTCAACAGAAATGGTCCGCGTATGATAGGGAATTATTTTCATTTCGACACATGTTAGAGGGCAGAAATTTTATCATTTATACGGATCAAAAACCGTTAATATATGCTTTTAAACAGAAGCCTCATAAATGTTCACCTCGACAATTGCGCCATTTAGATTTATTTCTCAGTACTCTACTGATATTAGGCATGTGCAATGTTCAAAAAACGGCGTTGCTGACGCTCTTTCAAGAATCGAAATTGATTCCATAACAAAATCTCCATTTTTGGATTTTAAAAAATTTTCGGAAGCTCAACAGCATGATCCGTAGGTACAAGACCTTCTCAAAAACAACACATCATCTTTGAAACTGGAATTTAAAGCGTGCTAGTATTCTGATGGTACCCTCATATTCTATGTGACATATCAACGGGCATTCCTCGTCTATTTGTTCCGAATTCCTTTCGCAGACTCATCTGTAATCTTCTGCATAATCTGTCACATCTAGGAATTGCAGCTACTACGAAGCTTATTTGTTCTCGTTATGTATGGCCCGATATGAAACATCATATCAAAAATTGGGTGAAATCCTGTGAATCTTGCCAAAAAATCGAAAATTACTAAGCATACTAAAGTACCACTGGGCACATTCTCTCTTCTTGATTCACGTTTTTCAGAAATCCATATGGATATCGTCGGACCGTTACCTCCATTAGAAGGCAACGTGTACCTTTTGACTGTAATAGATAGATTCTCCAGATGGCCTGAAGCCATTCCCATCCCAGATATGAAAACGGAAACCATTTGCGGAGCCATCTTCAACTGTTGGATATCTCGTTTTGTCTGCCCATCGATCATAACAACAGACCAAGGTTCTCAGATGAGATCCGCACTTTTTGCAGAATTTACGCGCATTTTAGGTACGAACAGAATCACAGCAACAGCCTATCATCCAATGTCCAACGGCATTGTTGAACGATTTCATCGACATTTAAAATCTTCTGTCAAGGCTCACGAGACCAATAACTGGACTGAAACACTACCAGTTGTTATGCTTGGTATTCGGACAGCCGTAAAGGAGGATCTACAGTCATCTTGTGCTGAGCTGGTGTACGGCACAACTCTCAAGCTGCCTAGTGATATGATAACGTCATCTAAGATATCTCCGTATGACACACAATTTATCACGAATCTTCGGCATAGATAGCAACAATCGAATCCAATAGCAACATCTGCACATTGCCAAGAAAAGTGTTACGTAAGTGCTACTTTAAAGTCGTGTACGCATGTATACTTACGTGTCGAT